CCCCCCCCCCCACTGCCCCGTTTTAAGGAAGCAGAAAAAGCAAATATTGAAAAGTATCACGCAATCCAAGATTTTATTTGAGTATCCTTATTTGTCTACCTGAGAGAAGCAAGCAGTAGAAGCACCTCCCAGTGTGGTGTAGTGCCGTCTGGATGCTAAAATAACAAAATCCCATAATCTCTCTGTAGGGGTTCCCCAGCGGTACCCCGACTGAGGTGACGGTTGATGTCGTTGGAATAAACACCTTTTCCATAATCCCTTCAATTCAGGCCCATCTCACACATTTGCAACCAGAACCCCCTCTGATTCTTCACACTACCGATGAGCATCGCTTCTTTTTGCTTCTGCCTCCTCAGGTGAAAACCTCTTCGGCTGAATGCCATCAGCAGTCCCATCTGGGCTTGCTGCTCAGACGCATGCTTTTTCTCATGACGCCCAGCCACCAGGTTAGCAGGATCGACATGCAGGAGTCCCCAATATTTGGGGGAGAGTCGTGAATCATAAAAAAACTGGAACAGTAAATGGCGCTTCCAGTTTCAAACTGTTTATAATTGCCCATCACTTGAACTGTAAATATACCACTCCCAGAACACTTGAAAATAATTTCAAACTTATTTTACAACATTATGTCGAACAAAAAAAAAAAGGGGGAGGTGGGAGCCAATAGTGAACCACAAATAGGCGGCGATTCACTACATCTTTAGAAGTGACATTACTATTTTTAATATACTTGTATACATAATGTGTGTGTGTGTGTGTGTGTGTATTTTTTTTTAACCTAGATGGAATTTCTGGCACGTTTCCCTTCATCCGAGGCTGAAAATCTCCCAATATGGCGTCACGTCCTCCTCAGAGCTCTTTCAACTGATGCCCGTCAACGCGTGGAAGCGGATGTCGTCGCGTTAGCTCAAAAAGCTTTGACCGAATGGCAGAGTGGAGGCTACAAACTGGGCCAAATGGGCAAAGTGGTGAGGACAGTAGTATGATCATGAAGGTCTAATCCTGGTGGGTAAATAGCCCACAGAAAGGGTTTTTGAATATGCTACTGGTGTCGTTTCCAGAATGCGGTGCTACACTGCCTCCTAGTGGTGGTTCAAGGAAAGTCACCTGTTGAGGAACGCTGCGTGTCATCTGCGTCGAGGATCGTCACACAACTGTGGCAGAGAGTCGCACCACATCAGGTAAGACACATCGGACTGACAGAAAAAGTTTCATCTTTGGGCCACAATCCCAGGAATAATTTGAAATGCGCTGTATGCTCTGCTTCAAACGCTGTTGCATTTTTTTTTTTTAGGTTCATCCTGAAATTTAACCTCATAGCAAAGTATTGTCTAATTTTTTATAATTTGCCTACACTGTATGCATGTGGAGTGACAACACTTGTTTCCGTAACGTACAGGTGCAGACCCATCATGTGCTGCGCATCACTCTGCAGCTCCTTTTGTCCATCACGGCAGTTTTAGTGAAAAACGTGGACGTGCCCGTCATCATTCACGTATGCGTCGATTTAAATCTTAAGATTGACATTGAGAACCGAGTGGAAATTGTGTTTTTGGTGTTTTCTAGGCTCTGGTGTGCGTAGACGCCGTCGTGTCGCCGAAGTGTACAGATGAGCTGCTCCTGGCCGCGCTGGAGTTCCTTTCGTCACTCGGGAAAATCTTTATCCCTCCTGAAAACCAGGTACTGACTCCACCCAATCAGAACACTGCATGTGATTGCAGCCAATCACAATGCCGGAATGGGATTGTTACATCGGATTTGACTCTAGCCAATCACGGCACTGGATTTGACGCTGGTATTTCCACATACTGTAATTGTATTAGGTCTTATCGACATGTATACTTTTCTGCCCGCCTCCAGAGTGAAATTTTTCCCAAATTGAGCAGCCTGTTTGGAGCGCTGTTAGCGCAAAGTTCCTCCTGGTTGCTTCATCAGCACGCTTTGGAGGCTTTTGCTCATTTTGCGGAGGTACAGCAAGGGAGCTTCGTTCATCATGCAGTACTCATGTTACAACTTTTGTTTATTTTATCAACCATCATACCTGTTGATGTTTCAGGTCACAAACCACGAAGAGGTTATTTCTTACAGTTTATGTGTGGAAGAAACCAAAAGCAAAGTGGTGAATTTTCTTAGCAAGGTAAGAAAAGTCTACAGTTGTCAGTGAACGTCTGGAAGAAGGCCGGACGTGAAAGTGACCGTGTTTTGTTGTAGACTGTTAATACACCGGAAGAAGTCAAGGAAGCGCAGCTCGCGAGAATCCAGGTGGAGAAAACTGTTTTAGAGCAACATAACCAGAGGCTTGACACCCCAAAACAGATTCCCACGGAACTTTCCGCTCCATCTGTGACTCATTCAGAGGTTAGTAACATGCTGGGTGCAGTTCGATTTAGAATTGTATTAGTTTTATGTTTTGGAAGAAATACGTTAACCCTGAAGAGCTACCGTATTTTCCACACTAAAAGGCACACTGGACTGAGGCGCACCTTCAATGAATGGCCTATTTTATAATTTTTTTCATATATTGGACACACCGCATTATTATGCAATCTACAATGCATCCACTAGATGGAGCGACGCTCAAGGAAACACCAACAAAACGATCAGATGTCAGTAAAATTTATTTAATAAAGCAGCGACGCGGTTCACTTAACCCCAAGAGCAAGTTATAACATTGACTCGTTAACGTTGAACTCTCTTGCCGCTGCTCTATTTCCGTGTTCAACTGCGTAACCGATCGACTTCAGTTTGAACTCTGCGTTGTAAGCATGTCTCAAGCAAGGAGCCATTTTGGGGTCGAAATATTACCGTAATGACCATACACAAGGCACATCGGATTTTAAGGGGCCGTGAGCTTTAAAGAAAATGGAAGGCTTTTAGGTGCGCCTTTTAGTGCGGAAAATACGGTATTTAAACCATTTTGGCTGCGGAAACCAATGAGTAATATTACAAGGATGATAAAAAAATTGTGAAATGTTGTGATGATCGAAAAAAAAATAGGATACATCAGGCGGTACTGTAATTTTTGATATGGAAAGGTCAGTATTTTGGTCAATATGTATTCTATCTAAAAGTTTTCTTGCCCCCATTCATCACTCAGCCGCAAGCCAAACGAGCCCGGCAGGAAAGTGCTGCGGACGAGGAGTACAGCCGCGGCATGCGGGCAGCTGAAACCGCGCTGAGGACGCTCCATGCGCTCGCTACAGGTAAAACGGGCACACAGGAACCACCGCCGCCTCCACCTTCGTGGCTGGCATCCCGAATACAAGTGCTGCATGTGCTTCTAAATGATCTCAGCTCAGCCACATCCACGAACTCGCCCACGTGATCTTTTTATTGTATAGGCAAATGTAATCTGAGGCTGCTTGTCTCTGTTTTTTTTTTAATGTATCAGTCTTGACTGATGATTAAATATTTGAATAGAAAGTCTTTGTTTTTATTTACTTTGAGGTCTGATGTAATACGTGAGTGAAAACTTGAATACTATTAATACCATTTACACTGCTGGGTACAGATTGCATTAGAATATCATGGAAGAATTGTTTTAACTGAAAAAGTGAAACTGGTATAGATTTACGACAAGGTATTTTCTGGTTTCCTTTTTTTGAGAGGGTGGGGGAAATATTCCATGATTAATATCACAATTCGGTAATTTCATTTGTTGAACTCCTGAAATAAATTAACTTTACTCCCACAGCCAAATTTAAAGAGATACAGCTTGGAGTTTTTATATTCCTTCTACTCTTGACACGAGTCAAAAGTACAATATTGACTAACTGCGCAGTTTCTGTCCACATTAAAATGCACGACAAAATCCGGGAGTCACTCAGTGGTTTTCTCTCCATGCACGTATCTGCAAATTAAACATTTTAATAGGCCCGAAAAGAGAAATAGAATCAGGTTTCTGGACAGCTTTATTATTTCACCAGCAACACCCCGCCCCCCCCCCTTGCCCAAAAAGCCACTAATAAATTAAACTAACGCATACTTCACATTCATTCAAAGTGCAACAAGTTGTCTTGGCATGAAACCTGACACGGGATTGATCGATCCGGATCCTCACGTGCCCTTCGCGAAGCTGTCACTTATTTTATTTCACCACAAGTTCTGTTGGCAGCATCTGTGTCAGTTGGCAAACAATTAAGAAATGGCTTCATTTACACACCCCCACCTCCACCCCACCTGTCTGATCAGCTTTGATTCCTTCCCGTTGAACAAGTCGCAATTCTTGCATTGAAAATCAGAGTTGGTACATCTTAAGCGTTTTTTTTTTTCTTCCTTTCCTTTTTGGGGGAGTGCTCCAGAGTTGGTAAATGTCATCCCCAACCATTTTCATCCTCCCAGTTGAGGTCATCCCCGTCGCCCCAACCGTCTGCTTCCGCCTGCGATACAGAAAGACACGTTTTCATTGGCCACCGGGCGATTTGAAGCAAGATGACATTTCCCGTGTGTGCTTTATCGATCCTCCCATTTTGTACACTGCTTACTGAGTGCAAGAGGCGAGTCAAGTACATTCTGGATCAGTACAAGCACTTGAGCCTAAAGTGCATTTCAACGTGGGAGAAAGACGGAATCGACCGGGAACACCACGTTGTCCGCTCACCTCAGTAACACTGGCGGCAGCAAACTTGTCAGACAGCATCGCCGCCGTCGCGTCCCCAGCAGCGTTGTACGACGTCGGCGCGGCGGCGTCGCCGCTCGCGCTTAGTACGAGCAGAGGCGAAGAGGACAGCTTGATGTCCGGCACCATGTCCGCAAACAAATCCAGCTCCGGGTCTATTTGCTGCTGCTTCTTCACCTTGATGGTGAACTCCTCTCCGAGACCTCCCGCGCCCTTGCGGTACTTCGGACCCGCGGGCTTGGGTTCCATCGGGGGTGGATTGGCCGGTAGTGTTGTTGAGCTCAGTTTGAGAGGTTTGGAAGCTCGCGGTCTTCGTGGCTCAGTGGTTTGTCCGCCCGGTGGTGTCGTCAATACGACAGGAGCTGCGGGAGAGGACTCGGAGGTGGCTTCGGTGTCCTCAAAGTCATCCCAAGGTTCTTCTTCAGCTTCGACAGTCTGTTGTGGTCCGGCCGCATTGGAGGCCTCGATGAGGATGCGGACCGGCTGGCTCTTTCGGTCGTCGCTCTCATCTGGATCGCTCCAGTCAGGCCAGTCCTCCCCGCGGCCTTTGGCTGGGTGCGCTGCCTCCTCCGGGCTGGAAGTGTCGGTGTCGCCGTGCTGACCGAAGCCATTTAAGGGGAGGAACGTTGGTTTACTGACGCCTGCAACACAGACGCACCTGACTGTTGCAAAACGCTTTTACAAAGTGTATCTTTTACAGCCACTTTTATGGTTGTACACATGATTGTTATATTTCTTCCTGTTTTAAAAACGACAAGGCTGAAGCTATCAAATATCTTGAGATTGAATTATTCTGCTAACTTTGCACGATGACACAACAATGCCAATCCAGCATACTATTATTTGTCCACTGTAGTATCTGTGACTGCACAAAAGTGGGGCCTGGCCCGGTGAGAGACAACGAATGAGAGAGGAGACGGCTGTTAGCTGAGCCAAACTGCATGTCGAGCGCCTGCCAATCAGTTGTGGCAATAGCAGATGATGTATAAATAAATTCAGTGTTTCTTTCTTTGGCTCCCATTTGTTCAATAAAGGGTTAAAAGTGCCCTCACAGCTTATGCGTGGAAGAAACCACTCGCAAAGCCGCCACAAATACTATAGATAGCCTGTTACTACAACTAAAAGAACTGAAAAACAAAATGAATTTTGAAAAAGAAAAAAAAAAGCCCGCAAAAGCAATTTGCACCATCATAAATTGTCCTACCTGACGTCGGTTCCAGCACGTAGTTCCTTGAAATCTCCCTCCTCCCCGTAAATCGCCCCGTGTTGCCCTTAACAAGGTCTTGAGGCGGTTGGGGGAACAAATTCAAAACCTTGCAAGGCTGCTCCATCTGAGGGAAGGAGCCTCCTATGATGTGGACGGGTGACGCTGCAATCGCAAAAAAAAAATATCAACATTCAGCCCCCAAATTGCCGTCTTCAACTCTTTGGACGGTCTCGTCTTGACTTACTTTCCGGCGTGGCCTCGGCCGACCTGCTGAACTTGGGAGACGAGCGTTTAAAGACTTTAGTTCTCTCCCCCCCGACCACCACCTGAGCCCCGAGCAAAGGCACCAACACCGCCAGACTCTGCAGCGTCATGGCGACCAGAGCGTCGTTGGTGTCTCTCATCCCAAGCAAAACCTACAATCATGTTGGGGGTGGAGCGGTGGGGGCGATCAACATCACTTTTACACAGCGCGTCTTCATGAACATATGAGTGGGCGGAGTCCAACCTGAAGGAAGGTCACAGCATACCTGAGGTAGGATCTGAATCTTCAGCTCCTCGTGGGAGAAGAACTGAGCGTAGATGTGGATGTTCGCCAACAACACCATCCGCACGTGTTCCTCGTTGACTTTGAAGAGCTTGAGGAGCTGCGGGATGACGTGTTTGCGGTAAAGGGCCGCAGACAGCAGGCATTCTTCCCCGCTATTGCAATCTGTTCCGGGACACGAGAAGCTTGTCGGTTACCCGAATCTCTCGGAGCGTCACACCGGCCTTCTTTTTTTTTTTTTTTTTTTGGTCATCGTACCTTTCTTTGGCTTGAGGAGATACGGCAGAAAGCTTTTGACCGCCATCGGCTCGGCAAAGACCAGGGAGTTGAGGAGCTTGGGGACCAGGCGTGCAGCGGTCAGCTCCTCGGGGAGGCTCTGGACTCTGTCAAGAAGAAACCTGCGCAAACGTGAGAGCAGAACCGATCCATGTCAACTTAAAGGAAAGCAATCGCTTTTTCACAAAGGGCCAGATAATTAATTTTTTTTCTTTCCCCTTGGTAAATGAGATCATGACTTCGAAACTGCATTTTATATGTCCTTGTGTACACTCTGCGTGATATTAAAATTGGTTTGATGAACTGAAACTTTTGGATGCAAAGAACACAGATATTAGGAAGGGGGCAAATACCATTTCATGAATGCCTAAAAATGACTACAGGGCCCTTGAGTGTCGAAATCACAGGTGTCAAACTCAAGGCCCGGGGGCCAGATCCGGCCCGCCACGTCATTTTATGTGGCCCATGAAAAGCAAATTGTGTGTGTCAACTTCCATGACCCTTGCTCAAAGCTGGACCGAAATGTCAAATTGTCACGTGTCATCAAATAACTTTTTTTTTTTAAACCCTGTTTACACTCACTCGGACAATAATTGAACAAACAACAGTTGACTGAGTTCAAAACTACGAATCCATCAATTGGATTTGTTGTGTACAAGGAACAATACGATGTGATGATTCAACATTTATTCGGTTTGACTGTCGTAAGTGGAAGACGGAACTCCAAAGTGAGTTTCATACCCCTGGTCTAATGTGGGGGGGTCATACTTTGCCCATCCCCCGACTTTGAAAAATGAGCCTTTAAGGCCACATTTAAGCCGACGAGCAAGTTAGTCTCCAATGAACCCAATATGTACACAGGAAGAGAAGATTCAAACCACAGAAGCGCGGGGGCAGACGAACTAACCACAAGACCCCCCGCCCCCCCACCCCACATTTGAATGCAACCATTCAAACTCGACTTTCACTCCTCACTTGAAGAACTCGTTTTTTTCTTCCTCCGTCTTCAGCGTGAGGCCGGTCAGAAAGTTCGTCACTTCCAGAAAGTCGTTCCTGCGCACCAGAACAAGCGCGGCGGCATTTAAACGACTTATCAACCGGCTGGGCGAGAGCGGCGGCCGCGCAACCGGCGAGCGCCCACCTGAAAAAACCATGAGTCAGCATGGAGCTGAGGGCCGGCCGACAGGAGGGGTCAGAGTTCAGCGGGCCCGCCTGCAGGGTCTTCTGCAGACTGTCGGACAGCTCCTGCGACACTGGATGGAAAGATGAACAAACGCCTTCATGTGGAACACACATTTGACCTTTATTAACCCTTTCACGCACCTTGTAACCTGATCACATGATCAACCGTCCACTGTCGTAACCGCTGCCCCCGAAAGGGTTCCATAAAATGCGTGAGGTCACTTTACTCACCGTAACCGTTCAAGAGAGGCAGGAGGGTCTCAAGCACGGAGCCAAAAGCGTAACAGTCCCGAGAGTGGGCGTGTTTATCTGGAAGCATTTTAAAGCCCTCCGCCTGCAAACAACATCTTTCTTTAGGAACCCCAAAAAGTCGCTTTGTCATTGCGATGGAGGGGCGGGGATGTTTGATATGCTGACCTGCTCCTCTGGTGGAACACAGCTGGCGTCTCTCACGCTCTGAATACTAAGAAGAAACTGCGAAACAAGCGCACGTCAAATGTCATGCAGGTCAACGTGTATAAAAAAAATAAAATAAAAAAAATTCTACACACCCCTGTAAGATAAATCTTTTCAAAACTTTTTGAGAGGGGAAGTAAAAACTTATGATGAGTGTGACGAGCCACCGCACGGTCAATTTCATTTGCTTCTGTGTCCTTGAAGGTTTGCGTCATCCTACCTCCGGAGTCGCTTCCGAGAACTTGCAGACTGTCTCCATCCCTCCCAGTTTCCAATGTCCATCTTCACTGACAAATACAGACGAGATGCACACGTTGTTGTGGCTCGATTTGCCCTGGCGGTTCAGGACAACAGGTTAGCAAACATTTTTGTATTTTTTTTTTTGTTTGTTTTGCAATTTCTAAATTGGAAGCTCGCTCACTCTCTCGTGCAGAAAGACAATGGCTTGCAGGAGGTCGTAGATTCCGGCGCAGATCTCTTCAGGGGAGAGCCCGTCCAGCAGCTGCTCCAGCGGTTTGACGCGCTCCGTCACCAGGTGGACGCTACCATCCTGAACCGAGCAGGACAGGAAGCGCAGCAGGCACGGGTGCCTCAGGGTCTTCAGGTGCTGCGGCAGGATGGCAGTTTCATTGCGTTCAAAAACCAGACGATTAGCTTTCATTTCAGGAGCCTTTTAAGTGTCTGTTTTCTGTTCTTATCATAATATTTTCACGTGTATATATAACACAGCTACATGTTTAGGTGCTCAGACTTGCGTACAAATTCGGGTTAGCTCGCCACCGTAGGAACAGATCTTCATCATTTTTTTCTTTTTCGAAATGAACATACCTTCGCCGCTTTATTGACCTTATCTTCATTGCCGCGCTTGTGAACAAACACAGAAGCGGCCCTTCCGTCCTGGAGCACCGCCGAGAACATGGTGAGACCGAAGGGCAGGCTCAGGAGCGGCTCTTCCGGCGTGCAGCTCCGCACGGCGCTGCTCTCGGCGCCCATGGCCGCTCACCTTCCACCGCACCGCACCTGAGGGAGGGCATGTGCCAAGTCATTATTTTTCAAAATCGTTCAGCCCTCGTCTCGAGAAAACAAAAGCGTACTAGCCTAAAAAAAGTGATTTTTTTTTTCATTCCAGAAGAAACAATTCCATGAACACTGTTGGCTTTCAATGAGCACATCGGCAAAAAAATTCAACAGTGCGTTATAAGAAACCACTGATTTCCAAGTGATGTTTAATTCACACTTTCGACTGATTTGATGACATTCGCTTCCGCAAGGAGAAAATGGGAAAAGATGCCAATAATGTCAAGCAGTCCGCCATATCTACAGTGACCTTTTTTGTACGATTTTTATGGATCCGAAAGAGAGCCTGAACCGTTCTCTCATCTACCTCTCTTTATTTGACACTAATAATGCCAAAGACACGAATGTATTATAATAATAATACTAATAAAGGTAGATACGCACCAAACACAATACTAGACATTTTCGGTTAGAGTAACTAAAGTAATATTCATGCAATATTCCGCACATATTCTACAATGAACCGGGATTGTTTATTCTCATATTTATAACCTATAGGTGAATTATGTTCCTTCATATTCATGCAATTCATGAGATTACTTTGGGCAAGTCCTACAAACACGTCGTACAAAATGCGGTTTTTTTTTGCCCCCCAAATAAGAGCGAGCCGTATTTCGGCAACGTGAGAGACAGCGTGCAAAGAGCCCATGATTGAGCCACCATTGCGGCTGTCAGAGCAGCACATGGAACACTTTGCAACCGTCATTTCATTTACCTGTTCAGACTCCACTGGCGGCGAGGACGATCGTAGCCAGCCTCGCTAGTTGCCTTACCAGCTGGCCATTGCTACGACTCGCCGTAGCCCGGGTCGCGTCCAAACCACCATACGGCGCTTTATGAGTCTTATTAATTCACGCGAGTTGTATCAATGGTCAGTTGTTGTTGTTTACAATAACGTAAGAAACCGAATGGCGTTCATTCCGATATTGCTAACGCGTTGTAAACACGGACATTTCCGGTATAGATGAAACCATCACACACGGGGGTGATACGTGCACGTTTAGAAAATCCTATTTTTCTCACATGTCTGGTTTTGGACCTGTTAATACAGCTATTTCTATTATAATAATTCTTATTATTCTAAACAAAAATATTTATTGAGTAATTTTAGGTGATAAAATAAGTCGGGAGGAAATATGAAGCTCTCCCTATTTTCAGTGTTAATGGTCTCGACTCCAGTGGTGCGAGTTGTGACGCAATCGCAAGTGACTTCTGCCATATGGTGGCCAAGATTTTTTTTTCAAGTTCAGTTGTTATTAAACTTATTCATTAAAAAAAAAATAATAATTTAAGGTGCACGGGACGTTTTTCAAATTGTTTGTGCTTTTGTGCTTCAAGAGGTTTGAAGCGGAAGTCCAAACTTCTCTTTGCAATGTTTTCTTTGTGCCCCTACGAGTTTAAACACAGTATTTTGAGTAATACTGTGTTCATGGAATAAGAATTAAGCAGAATAACCCACCCCATTTTGCTATCCAAGTCTTGATCCAAGAATCTTATGCGGCACTGCTCCCTGCTGTTGCGTTTAAACAATGTCAAAATGCCCACGGGCTGTGCTTTGAACGTCACGTGACTAAAACCAGAAAAACATTCGAGCTGTGTCTAATTATGCGTGTTGAGTGTTACACTGGGGAAAAAAAATCTTTGGATGCAGAAGACGCAAAATTCATTAAAAAACCGCTCCAGAAACACAAGAGTACAGTTGCCTCCATTCAACCTTTCTGGTATCCAATGACGAGGTTGACAAACAATCTGCACAGACAGAAAAAAAATCCTCAATCACTTAAGTGATACTGTGATCCTAAGTTAAAACTGACTTTGATAGATCTGCTGTTTGGAAAACAAAATAGAAAGTTCGGTCAATGTCCCTTTTTTGTGTGACAGCGTTCACAATACAGTATGTGCAAATCATAATGGGTGATTTTGATTAGGAAAAAAAAACTGATTTCAGCAACAGAACAGAAATATCATCAGGGGAAGTGAAGACATGACTTGCGGTTGGCGACTTCAGCAATAGCGGCTGCAGCGAGGGGGAAAACAACAACACACACATATTCATTCTGAGAGAAACATGGACGAGCTTGGTAAGACAAATTTTTTTCCTACTGATTTTCAGTGATTTCCAAATAAATCACTTGTCTTTGATTGTGAGGCAAAGCGATCTTACGTGATCATGATTTCAAACAGAACTTACAAAGTGTACATTATGGTCTATAAAATTAGTCCTTTAATGCTCTCACTAACATCCATGTTGCTGTCTCAGTTATATCTTGCAGTTATCTAATCCTAAACTTAATGTTGCACATTCACAATCTAATCAGATTCAGTCCCAAAAGTTGTGTTAAGTTAAATACAATTTCAGGGGTGTACTAATTTAACATGATTCAGCAACATGAGAAGGGCAAAATATTTAGTGGAGGCTATTCTGGAATAAAAAATAAAATATAAAATATATAGTTAGATTAAATTACCCTCATTAATATCAGTGAAAATGCCCCAAGCTTGAGCTCAACACAGCTGCGTAGTTTCCACAAGATTCTTTCAGCAAGTTTTACTTCTGTAAAAAGTGATGACATCATCTTCCTGAGGAAACCTGTTGGCATAATTAACCTCAACTAGATCACGCAAACATCTCTGCCCTCCGAGACAAGCTTTGCACAGGAAACGCAATCATACCCACCGGCTCAACCTTCAATAACAAAAGTGAAAAATCATTGGTTGAATGGTTTATCGCGTATGCCTGAATTTCAGTGAAGTGTTTGAACGTGATTTTTGTGTTCCAGATTTGCTTTTGGAGGAACTAGCCCTCAATCCGACTGCTTCAGAAGGCAGCAATGCAACCCTGAAAGAGGTAGAGGGACGTAAAGCCTTTGTTAGCATCAGCTGTTACCTGGCCCAAGTGTGATGTGTTGTTAGCTAGTTAGCTAGCGATACAAAAAAAAAAAAATGCAGCTTCTCCTTGGATGGTCCGCTAGCATGGCCGCTTGAAGAGTGCCTCATTGTCAGCCATGAGTGTGTGCATGTCATGGGCGAGGCTGAAACATGAGGTGGGAAAATAATTAATTAAAGCCCGATGTGAGGTTCAGCAGCTCGGTTGGTGTCAGCCACGATGTGCACATCGGCTTCGCATTGACAAGGCTGCTATAGAGTGCCTCGTTGTCAAAGTGTGGAAAACTGCCACAATGTTAGGATATATTCCAGCCGCTGGAGGTGTAAGCGGATATACTTTATATTGGTGACTAGATATGTGTCTGTATCTGAGAGTGGAGCTCACCCCTGATTAAGACCACAGTTTTTTTTTTGGTTTGTTTTTTTACATTAACTCTCAACCTCTTCACTTAAACGTTTGCAGGTTTGAATAATGAAACATGATCATTTATAAGAAAAACTGAATATCTTGTTGGTCTACTTTTTTTTTTCTCGCAGGTGTCAGCTGCAGTCAACACTGGACCTAAAAAGGGATCTAACCTAAGACTTTACAGGTGTTGACTCTCTTCAAATTCTGCCATCATAAAACATTTACAGTATTTGCCTACAGATATTTTTTCAAGTAATGTAGGATAAAGCGGATCCGAAAATAGACGGATGAATAATATACTTCGCATAAGGGTAGAAAACAAAAAAACATGGAAAAAAAACTAAAACAACAAAAATTTTGCTCTCGGACATTTAACAAAGACGACTATAGTCGATCATTTAAGCAAAACAAGACGATCCCATGTAGTTTTATACGGTGTGCAGTACATACTTGAGTATCTCATGTCTCGGCCTCTTGCGGGGTTTTAGTGAGCCGCCTCTTCCTGAGGCAGCTTCCCAAGACTCACCCACCGTCGAACTGGACTCCATTTTGCAAGAGCTGATGAGCCTGGGATCAGAGGTGAGTATTGCATTACTTCGCGTCTTCCACACAACTAAAGTCTGAGTCTCCGATTTGGCCTTTCTGTGTGTGGAGTACTCCCAATGTTGCCTTTTGTGTTTTCGGCAACTTCCTCCTACAAAGGTGTGATTATGAATGGTTGTCTGTCTATGTGTACCCTGTGAGTGACATGGCAACCAATCCGGGCTGTACCCCACGTCACGCCCCGAAAGTCATCCGGACAGATTCCAGCTTTTCTTGTTAGCATGCAAAGAATAAGCAGGAAAAAAAACGAATGGGTGGCTTAACCGCTCTCATCAAGAGGGGGCAGCGTTGTTCCAACATGGACACTGATGTCATCATCACTCAGCTGACTTTTGAGCAAGCGACTCATGCCTGTCTGGCCTCCTCTCTCCATTTAGAACGCGGCATCGTCACAACTTTTACCAGAGCGGTCTGTTGAGAAGAAACCAAAAGACGGTCAACGGGATTTCGATGCAAAGGCTTCAGCCGGGAGCAAAGATACGGACAGTATCGATGATCTTCTCGGAGGGCTGAGCACTGACTTGGAAAAGATTGGAGTCCACACAGCAGCCAAGGGCCGCTGCGCTGCCTGTAATAAAGTGATTGTGGGCAAGGTACGGGAAGGCTTGAAAATACATGTTGCTGTCGAGTGTGCGGGAGAGCATTTCAGAAACATTTGCGGACACAAAAAAAAATTCCCTAGTGTGTGAGAACGTTTTACTACGTGTGAGTAAAAACATAACAGGAGTGTAAGAGCGCTGAGCGAAAATGCTCTCAGTAGTCTGAATGAGAGTGTTTCAGTTGTGTGTGTGAGAGCTTTGACTTAGTGTGCGCGAGTGCTCCATTTAGAACGCGGCATCGTCACAACTTTTACCAGAGCGGTCTGTTGAGAAGAAACCAAAAGACGGTCAACGGGATTTCGATGCAAAGGCTTCAGCCGGGAGCAAAGATACGGACAGTATCGATGATCTTCTCGGAGGGCTGAGCACTGACTTGGAAAAGATTGGAGTCCACACAGCAGCCAAGGGCCGCTGCGCTGCCTGTAATAAAGTGATTGTGGGCAAGGTACGGGAAGGCTTGAAAATACATATTGCTGTCGAGTGTGCGGGAGAGCATTTCAGAAACATTTGCGGACACAAAAAAAAATTCCCTAGTGTGTGAGAACGTTTTACTACGTGTGAGTAAAAACATAACAGGAGTGTAAGAGCGCTGAGCGAAAATGCTCTCAGTAGTCTGAATGAGAGTGTTTCAGTTGTGTGTGTGAGAGCTTTGACTTAGTGTGCGCGAGTGAAAAAAAAAACGAGAGCGTCCCATTTGTGTGTCTAAAAATGTTTCAGTAGGTTGTGAGAGCGGCGGCCCGGTGGTCCAGTGGTTAGCGCGTAGACCTCACAGTGCAGAAGTCGTGGGTTCGATCCCGGCTCTGTGTGGAGTTTGCATGGTGTGGAGTTTGCATGTTCTCCCCGGGCCTGCGTGGGTTTTCTCCGGGTACTTCGGTTTCCTCCTACATTCCAAAAACATACATGGCAGGCTGATTGAACACTCAAAATTGTCCCTGGGTGGGAGTGTGAGAGCGGATGGTTGTTCGTCTCTGTGTGCCCTGCGATTGGCTGGCAACCGGTTCAGGGGGCCCCCCGCCTACTGCCCAAAGACGGCTGGGATAGGCTCCAGCCTCCCCCGCGACCCTTGTGAGGATAAAGCAGATCAGAAAATGGATGACAAACTGCTTCTTTGCTGTCGTTGTGTAGCTGGTGGCAGCATTGGGTGAAATGTGGCACCCGCAGCACTTTGTGTGTGCTGTATGCAAGACGGAGCTGAGCACCACGGGCTACTTTGAGAGGGACGGACGCCCGTACTGCAAGGAAGACTACGAGCAGCGCTTCGCTCCACGCTGCGCTTACTGCAAAGGGCCCATTGTGCAGGTCAGAGGTCATTCATTCAATGACAGCCGGCGATATTACAGCAACAATAGGCAGGGATCGGCTGAAATACTTTATGCACCAGCAGAAGCTGATTTTGAAACGTTTAAATTTGAAATTGAATAATTAAACTTGAATCATTGCATTGAAAAATGAATTTGAATGTATTAGTTTGGAACTAAAGTCCACGAAATGTGAAACCGTATTTAAAATTATCGAATGTGTTTCATGTTCTCTGAAATTGAATTTGATCCAAATCGATGATTCAGTTCTGTATATTTTCCTATTCGGGTTTCTAAGTACAAATTCAGTTCAGTTCCATCCGTTTATCCATTAGTCCGTATTAGCAGACAAACACAAAACTCACACTCATGCCTACGGACATTTTTGAGCTTCGATCAACATAACGTGCACGTGTAAGGCCTACTCTATCGGTGACTGAATGCGTGTGATTTTCAATTTTGAGCCTGGCCTGTCGAGTGATGTGAGACTGAGGAAATCAGAGAGTGCAGCGCTTTCAACTAGCTAACCGTTAGCCATTGTACGCCTTGAGTGGCTGGTTGGGGTCAATTGTGGAAAACGGCAAGTCGTGCGTGAATATGTTTGTTTCTTTTGTCACATTTGTTCAATAAAGTGGTTGAAAGTGCAGCTGCGGTTCCTGTGGAGAGATTACAACTCGTTCTAGCTAGCGCTATAATATATTAGCTAATGACGTAGTGTTACTTAAGCCAGTTGTGCTTTTTTTCAGTTGGCAAATTGCACTTTAGCTTCTTTTAAGAAGTGTGAAATGATCTCAAAGATCTCTTTCGACATTCTAAAATGGTTGCCGGCCAATCTTAGGGCACATATGGACAAACAACGATTCACGCTCCCATTCACACCTGCGGAAAATTTAGAGCCTCGTGTAGTTTTAACTCACATGATGCCTACGGACATTTTTGAGCTTCGATCAACATAACGTGCACGTGTAAGGCCTACTCTATCGGTGACTGAATGCGTGTGATTTTCAATTTTGAGCCTGGCCTGTCGAGTGATGTGAGACTGAGGAAATCAGAGAGTGCAGCGCTTTCAACTAGCTAACCGTTAGCCATTGTACGCCTTGAGTGGCTGGTTGGGGTCAATTGTGGAAAACGGCAAGTCGTGCGTGAATATGTTTGTTTCTTTTGTCACATTTGTTCAATAAAGCGGTTGAAAGTGCAGCTGCGGCTCCTATTGAGAGATTACAATTCGTTCTAGCTAGCGCTATGCGCTATAATATATTAGCTAATGACGTAGTGTTACTTAAGCCAGTTGTGCTTTTTTCAGTCGGCAAATTGCACTTTAGCTTCTTTTATTAAGTGTGAAATGATCTCAAAGATCCCTTTAGACATTCTAAAATGGTTGCCGGCCAATCTTAGGGCGCATACAGAAAAACAACTATTCACGCTCCCATTCACACCTGCGGAAAATTTAGAGCCTCGTGTAGTTTTAACTCACATGATATACTTTACTCCTCACATTTCATTTGACTTGTACCGCATACCAAAAGCCAATCAGCGGGGATGAATGTAACATGTACAGAGTTTGATATAATACGATATAATTGGTCATGGGAGTATACTGTAAGTAATATGTTAATATTTGCTGTTGCAGAACATCCTGACAGCTCTGGACCAGACCTGGCATCCAGATCACTTTTTCTGTGCACACTGTGGAAATTTCTTTGGAGATGACGGTACTATGATGAAACCCGCTCAAGGGGCCTTCTGAGAAAAAAGGAGCAAATGACATCAGTGGGGAACGTGTGTTCAAAGGTTTCCTGGAGAAGGATGGGAAGCCTTATTGTTCCGGTGACTTCTACCGCCTCTTTGCCCCCAAGTGCGCAGGCTGTGGGGGGTCAGTGACGGAGAAGTACCTGACCGCAGCAAACGGCACGTGGCATCCGGAATGCTTCGTCTGTGCGGTGAGCTCCTCATCATCACATATACATAGTTACCTCGCCATCATCTCTCTAAAATCCACTCTGCATTCTTCCATCCACGGTGGTGGGAGAGTACAAATACTTTGTTACTATACTGAAGTAAATTATTTTCTTTTGAATCCTTACTTTTTTTTTTCAACCTCAGCAGATAACGCAATGTAGAAAAAAAAAAAAGAGAGTTGAACAGAGAGACGTAAAGTCAACCCGCTGTTGAGATATTGAGTGATGGAGTGTGGGTCTTGAACGACCAGTAAAAAAAAGCTCTAAAACACAGGTGTAAAAGTCAAGGCTCGGGGGCCAGATTTGGCCCGCCATATCATTTTATGCGGCCCGCGAGAGCAAATCAAGCATGTCAAATTCCATGATGCTTGCTTAAATCTGAACCAAAATTTCAAATTGTCAAATGTAAAAAACAATAACAGTCATTATTCTTGACTTCTGATTTTAAAACTAGTTATCCATCCATTTGTTGTGCACTGTGTATGTAATATGCGGAGGGGATTAAACATTTATATGGTTTCCCAAAATTCATAACGGACCTCCAAGGGAAACAGTAACTACAATGTGGCCCGCGACAAAAATGAGTTTGACACCCCTTGCTCTAAAACGTTTGGCGATTTGAGGAACTCTGCTTCGCGACAGCGAAAGAGATACCGTATTTTCCGCACTACATGGCAATTCGGAATATAAGGTGCACCTTCAATGAATGGCCCATTTTAAAACAGTTTTCACCGCATTACAAGGCGCATGGAATAGAAGCTACGATAGTGGCTGCGGTTGTGTTATGCATCCACTAGATGGAGCCACGCTAAAGGGGAATACAACACAATACGGCTTTATTTATATCGAGCTGTCACAACCGCTGCAGCTGTAACAAAGCGCTTAACAGAACATTGAAAAAAAATTACGTCCAAAAAAATCTTTATATTGATCCATACATAAGGCACGTTGGAATTTAAGGTGCACTGTTGCACTATTTTGAGAAAACTGAGTGCTTTTAGGTGCGCCTTACAGTGCGGAAAATACGGTCATCACAATTTCTACTCTGATTGGAGTCTTTTTACACATGTATCGATAATTCTACGTACTCACTGTTGCCACCTCTGCCCTTTCAGGACTGTCTGAAGCCCTTCTCTGACGGCCGCTTCATGGAGCTGGATGGCCGCCCGCTGTGCCAGACGCACTTCTACACGCGTCAGGGCACTTTGTGCGGCAGTTGCCGTCAACCCATCGTGGGCCGCTGCATCTCAGCTCTGGGCAGCAAGTTTCATCCGGAGCACTTTGTGTGCGCCTTCTGTCTGCGGCAGCTCAGCCAGGGAATCTTTCAGGAGCACAAAGGCAGACCGTACTGCTCCATGTGCTTTAACAAACTCTTTGTGTGATGTGGAAAGGCATAAAAAAAAAAAAAAAAGGGCAACGTTATTACTCCGGGTGAATAACGGCTTCACGGTTGAGGTTAGGATTTTATTGTACGCCAAAAATAGTGGGCCACACGCCTTAACTCGAACAACTCAACCCGATAGAGAGCCGACACCGTTTTTCATTTTCACTGCAATTTGCTGAATTTAGAATATTTGCCAGAGGATGTTCCTTTTATCTGAAGTTTCAAAGTATGATCTTTGTTGACACAAAAAAAAAAGTCCCACGGAAAACCATTGAGCGTGCAATTATCAATCACATTTTTTTTTTTTTTATCTTCACAGAAACTACAGTTTGCGATTCTTGATTTTAAAAGTCCAATTTGAAATGCTAGCCACAAGATGGTGGTCCACCCCCTCCCCATTCATAGCATGCAGCACTATTTCAAATTGTATATTTTGACAACAAACGGCGTTACTTTTTCCCATCTGAAACAAAGTGTAGAATTTTACGAGTAACTGTTTGCTGCAAGGTTGGCTTGCAACTGAAAGTGTTTGTCACTACTCCTGGCTTTATTTATCCAACTCCATCTATCTATCTATATACATTCAAAGCATGGAACCTAATTTAGGTCTTTTTCTGTTTTCTGCAAGAGTGCCTGACTACTGAAATGATATTTTGCGACTCCGTCTGGCTTATTTTGTTATTGTGTTTTTTATATAGTCTGCCACCAGGTTTCCCCATTCAAAGCATGCAGCGCACCTTCGAATTGCTTTCTTCCAAGGTGCCTTGTTACTGAAATGATAAATGTGTGTCGCTTCGAGTACCTAAAAAAAAAAATCCTTGCGACAAGATGGTGCCATTCCCTTTTTACTGCTGCAGTGATGACACACAAAACATGCCTGCACACCGACTCCTCGTCCTCTACGGTCTGATCAAAATGTGGATTTTGAATTCACTCGGTCACAGCTTTTGCGGGCTTAACATTCGAAACGTGCAGTTAGTCACTCAAACGATACGGCAAATGCAGAGTTTTGCTCACTAAGTAAAAATGTCACTCATTTCTGTGCTCCGGTCTCCCATTGCCAATTTGGCTGTTTATTGGTATGTCTTCCAGTGGAGAGTTCAACATTGGACGAGTGGAAACTTCGTTTGGGGAGCGATGAAGCAAAGTGAAACGACACAATATCTGGCAGTCTGATGGACGAGTTATATTTAGCGCAGAATTTTGTGTTTGCACACTTGTGAAAACCGACAGAGAGCCAAGTTTCATTTGTTCCATGACCACGCTATCACTCAAAACACTTGTATTTTAAATATTTCCCGATTGAAAAGAATGGAAATGCATTTAATTATTTTCAACCTCCCTCCAACAAACCATGATGTGTCTTCTTTAATGATACGACTGGCGCTGTATACAATTCCTGAATAAAAGCAGAGTAATGGCATAAATCAATATAATTTCCATGTATCCATCCAAGATCCGAATTGCTTATCCTTAAAGAATTGAATACTTTTTGAACACTTTTTGCTTCAATTAAATGTACATTGCGCTACTCCTTGTGGTACGTACGCCTTGGCGGGAGGAAAACACAGAAATACAGATATACTGTACAATGCTACACACTGGTTAGAGCGGCGACCGTTGTGTTAGCATTAGCATGAAGCTAGTGGACTTCAAGGCTAAACTGTGTCGTTGTTTTAAATCCAAATAACGATGTACATGTCATCATTTTTGGTGACACACTAGCTACATTCAGAAAAATATTTTAAAATGGGTGGTGGGAATTTTATTCCTTGCTAGCTGCCGCCGCGCTAACCGGAGTTTCCTTTACAACACTGACTGACCAACTGGGCCTCGACGCACGCACCTCACCTCGCAGACAGCCTCTTCATTCGCCACACAGACTCCTTTGTAGCCGCATGTGGAAGATTGATGAAGGGGCTCAAGTCAACAAACTCGTTTTTACTGTTGGATGGAGCGTCCAAACATCACTGCGGTGCTCAAACAACTCATTCCCGGTGACGAGAGATGGATCAGCCACTAAGTGCTTTCGTGTTTTTTTTGGGGTGGTGGGGAGGAAAATTGTGCCACCAATGTACTTTGCACATTGATATGATTCATTTGTTACAATGACAAATGACACCGTGTTGCAGTTCGGCTATTCAGAATAGACCTTATATGTTATCGTATGTTATTGCTGATTAAATTATAGTGTTGCCCCTGATATATTGTGGTTCAACTACATCCGCTCCATTTTTGAGCAGATTTTTTTTTAAACGTGGAAAATCAATATTCTTTTCACTTGTGCAGCTCTTTTCCACCGACAAGGCACTCAATGTGCAACACTGACTCCTCCCAACCCACAACCGCTGGGTGGGAGATGACCACTTTTCCGCTGAGCCATACTAGACAGCATTGAAAACTCTTAAATATTGATTGAAATGCAGTTTTAGATCAAGTCCGTATACTGATTGCAATTTGACAACATGATTTGCGTTCATACACACAAGTGACTCAGCTAAAGTGGACAATCGTGAAAAAAAAGTTGGCAAATTATACTGTACTGTAATCTTTTAGTGAACCACGAAAACATGGTGCGATTGTCAAGGAAGAAGTTAAGTGCGGCACAGAGAGGGAATGGGTGATGATAAAGGAGAGAGTGTGCACATTTGAGAGGCTGTTGGCAATGACTGCACCATTCACCGAATTCATTTCGATGACAGAGACTCTCCACGCTTCGCTTTCTAGCCACAGATACACGTGAAATAGTATTTATATCGACATATATTTACATGCACCATTTTTTTTTGTTCGCATGACATTGATGAAATGTTATTATTCATGATCAATTATGTTTCTCTGTGTGAAGACTATGTAAGAATTTCTTTTTTCACCGATGTCCTCAAACACATCATGTAGAGAAATGGTCCAAACAAGTTTATTACCGGTACCTGTCCAGTTCTTTTCACACTGACCCAAACATGTTTACGTAGAATTAAGGGAGTAAAAGGAGACTGTTTACCTGCAGAAGTAATACGGAGCCACGGCGCTCGCCTAAAACTAAAAAACTGCACTTTTATTGGCGTAACGTCACTTTAGAACAAGCTTATAACGTGACCTAACTGCGCCTTAAAGTTGACTCGCCCAACTGCAGTGGAGGCTGTACAGCGTCGCATCTTTAGCTGCTTTCGTGCTTCGTTTTTGTTGGCTCTTTGAGATGCTTTTTTTTTTTCTTCTAGTTTTTCTCCGGACCACTCGCTCAGACTCGTTTTGTGAGCGCTTGCAGAGGTGAGCATTAATCATGCTGTCATCGCTCTCCTTTTGTAGTCTGTGAGTACCACTTGAGCCTTTGCATCATGGAAGAAGTGTCAATGCGGCGTTAAGTGAAGTCCAGCGAGTCGACCGGTCTACTTCAAATCGCCAAATCATGTTTTAAATTTCGCGCGCATGATGCTGTAAAGAGCAAAAAGTACATGAAAAGAGACAATATAATTTTGTCAAATAAAATAACAGTCTCAAATAATAGGCCTATAGATTTGATGATGAATACAATTATTTCACAATTGAATGTATTCATTTTTGGAAATGAAAAATTCATTCAAAATATGAAACGAATGAACTTAAATGTAAAATAACTGAAGAAGAGAATAAATAGAAAATGTAAATGTAAAATAATTGAGCTCTCGATATGACAACCATCGTCAAAAAATAAATAAAGTTTAATAGAGGAATAAACTGTGAATTAAGTAACGGTGAAATATATGAATTACCCATTAGTTAATCAAACTGAAATATTTATTCCATTAATTGAATTGTACCGGTTCATCATTTCAGCACCGATTTCTATATTTCATGACCTTTTTAATGATTGAATAACATTTACCTAATTGATTTTGTCATGACTCAATATAATTGCATTTATTATCTTTGAACCTGTTCCACGACTTCCACTTATTAAATAAATGATTGATTTCTATTATTATTAGATTTTTTTTTTTTGTTGCACAAACAAACCTCCATACGTGAATATTTTTTTCATCTCCACTTTAAATCAGAAGGTCGAGTTTCATGTAAAACACTGTGATAGCGTATGCAACTGAAATATGATATGCGGGACTAAACGTCATGTCGAAAAAATGCCCCCTCCAAAAAAAAAAAAAAAATTTTTAAACATACGACTGCTGTTTTACGGCGGACTCGCTTACACGTAGTTAAAGTGAGCAAACATGAAATGTGAGCGTGGGTCCTTTTTAAAAGGGTGCTGAATAAAGGGGCCATGTGTGCGGAGAGGAGAGGAGAGAATGGAACTCAGGTGACATTTACAATGGTGAACCGGAGGAGGAACTGATTTGGGGGAGGGGGCGGGGGGTGCAGGAGTGCATTGGACCGTGAGATGCTTAGATGGGGTTTATGTGAGGGCCATAATGGACACTGTGGGACACAGAGGGCAGGGAGGTGCAGCCGCAACCTTTGCTTGAACCGCTGAAATCCAATCCGCTTACCTCGACAGACGCTTGGACAAAGTTTGTGTCCGCTCGCCAACCCGGGATGACGACGGCAGCCTGACACGGGAAAATAAAGTAAAAAAAAAACAAAACAAAAACCTTAGTGGGTTACATCCAGCTGGCCATGCCCTATCCTGGAAAACGACAGCTTATCAATATCCATCCATCCATTATCTGAACCGCTGGAGCCTATCCCAGCCGTCTTCGGGCAGGAGGCGGGGGACACCCTGAACCGGTTGCCAGCCAATTGCAGGGCACACAGAGACGAAGAGTACCCGGTCTATAAAAGTTGCTTTAAAAGTGCTGAATAAATTCTTTCAAGCCACCCAGCGACGTTGTCGGCCACCCTACTCTCGCTCACTGTCGAGTTTTTGGAGAAAAGTCCGGCTGGAAAATAAATTTGAATTCATTTCCCACATTCACGCTTCTCATAAATCCAACTTTGATGCACAGTGAGCTCAATCAATCAGAGGATGGAGAAATGCCATCATCACTTTAATCCGACTTGCAGGCCTTATTTGGATAGATCTGAAAAGAACAAACAAACGGTAAACTACTGGAACCTGGGAGTGTAACTTTCACATACTTTTCTCCAAAAGATCATCAAAATGAAAAAGATCAGCGACATGATTAAAGTGGAGATAAATTCTTGGCATCAGTACAGCTGGGCAAAACCTTCAGGTGACCAAGAAGTGTTTTCTGTGTGTTTAACCACAAACAGAACCCCCTGCCCCCCTTCAACTTCAACACCTCGGTAATAACTTCCAGCCAAGGCAAGCTGCTCCCACTTTAGCCGTGTTTTCTCTGGTGCCACTGCAGGTATCGCACCTGATACCATGACTGCTTCCTCTGTCCAAAAGAAACATCGCGCTGTTCTTGGCCTTCCTGCTAAGCAACTTAAACATCACTCACTCAATCACACACACACACACACACACGCGCGCACGCACACCTATCGCCTCCTCTGTACACTCACGGATTTTTAAAACAGTTTTTTGGCTTTTTATGGGTTGAATGGAGTCGGCTCCCAAGTGGCCAACACGATGGGAGGTTCTTTGGAAAATGACAAAAAAAAAAAAAAAATTGACGGCAATCTCATCTTGCCAACAGCCGGTGCCAATGTTGGACCTCCGCGCTAAACACACAGTGGCGGTTTTGTGTCAGACAAGTGGTAGGACACCAACCACTTAGGAAAAAAATAAATCTCCCCCCCCCCTTTAAAAAAAAAAAAAAAAAAATACTAGCAGCAAGCTATTAAACTAAAAACATAAAAAACTAAAAAAAAAAAGTAAAAATTTTACAATTTAAAAAAACATTGACAGTGAGGATTTTTTTTCTTTATTTTTTTTAATCGACAAAGTAAATCATTTCTTTTCCCGTCCAACACTCACCTCTGTGTGATGAAAAGTGGCACCCTCGCAACTCTTCTCTCCGGTCTCGACTGCGATCGCCTCGGCTGACGCTGGCGGCGGTGGTGTTGCAACTGGCAAGCGTGTCTGGCTCGAGCTGATGTCGGTTATGTTAATTCAATTTGTTTTCCTCTCGCCTTCTCCGCTCCACCGGGATCACTGCTTTTGCTCCGACTGCTTTCAAGTCAAAATAAAACACAACAAAATGTCACGATGGGCAGTTCTTTGTATCGATTTTTATTTATCGACCCCTCCCACATTCTTGAAACTTATTCAAACATGCTTCTCAAACACACCGGAAATGGATTTCAACACAAAAAGGTGACAACTTTGTCATGTCCGTGTAAAGACGTGTGCCTTTAAGGGGCGGGCCTGTTCGGGTGGTATTTGTGTTTCGGAGAATTGTGTCCCCAGTTGTTCGCTGAAAAAAATAAACCTACGCGATGTTTTGGCGTGCTTTCGGAAACACGCTAAGATGACATATAATGGCGCCATAGCCGACAGGTACAACGTTTTTTTGCTTTTAAATCTCTCAAAA